AGGAAATATTATATATGCTGCTGCTCTCGTAAAATACTTTAATAAATCTTGAAATCTGGAGTATGATAAATTTGAATAATATTCTATTGAAAGATTTAAAACTAGTAAAACCTTGTAATTGGTGAACAAATTCGCGTATTTTGAGTGATATTAATGTGAATGCTCAAAGTGCTAAATAATTCTGAAGCGAAAGTTATTACTCTTTTGTTGGATGTGAGTTCAACTCTATTCTAAAAAATGCGCCAAGCTTTCTTCAATATTTTGGAAATGACTTTGGCTGTGCAGTAACTATTCTAAGTACCAACCAGGTTTTTTGTCATTCCATTTTTATTACAAGTGGTGTTCGTCATATTTTTCTTTTTTTTTTTTTGAGCGTGTGCACGCTTGTGGTGGTACCTCTCCAACCCAGAGTTTGGTCGTTGCGGGGGAAGAAATGGGCTGATCACACATAAAATGCTTCATATACTGTGTTTAGGTTAGGATGCAAGTAACATGTGATCATTTTTGTATTCTGACTCCAAAATGTTATTCTCTAGTAACATTGTGGATGTGCTTTCTTATGCTGAGCTTAAAGAGGCAATAGCTCAAGGCAAATGGGCAAGGGGTCCCTGGTCAGCTAGGTTAGCCATTTTCCTTTCTATTGAAGTTTCTTTTCCTTTTGGAACATTTTGCGAAGTTCTTGTAAATGTAACACGTGCCTGATTCACCTGTGCAGCGACAGTGAAGAACTGAAGGTCAAAGAAGAAACCGGGGCAACCATCAGGTGTTTCCCTTTTGAACAGCCACAGGGGACGAAAAAGTGCTTGATGACTGGTAATCCAGCAGATGAAGTAGCAATTTTTGCCAAATCTTACTAGTATCGAGGTAAGAATAGCACATTTGTATTATGATACTATGACTATACCCTTTTCTATCCTTTTTTCCCCTCTTAGTAAGCCCATTTTACATTTTCTTCAGTTATGTTTACTCATTATTCATTTTAAGGTGATTTTGAGAATAATTATACTATCTATTAGGTTGTACAATAAGTAAATTTACAATTACTGTACATTGCAGCTTGATGAACTGTTGTATTGATTAAATGAAATGCCACTGTGACATTGATATTCTAGTTGGGCCCTTGAGGCAGATGGATGTTGACACTTTATATATATTTATTCTCTACGATCCAACACTGTATATTTATTTACTTTCTACGGTAGAACATCTAACAGGACAGGGATCAAAAGATTATATAAGAATCTGGAGTAGGATGGACGAGAAAATTTGGCACGTTGATTGGATGGTATTGGACCCGACTTGTTTAAAATTTGTTATGTCGAGTTTTAACGTCTTATGTAGCTTGTAAACATGAAATCTTTGGGCCCCAAAGTGTTCTCATATACATAAATGATATAAAAATTTGATTCGAAGACGATATTTTATGCTAATTATTTCAAACAGAAATTAATTTTTTATATAACCAGTGTAAGAATACTGCCGAACTGCAGATAGGGAAGTGAAGAAAGAGCACCGTCTTGTCTCATATTTACCAGTCAAAGCTGAAGGATTTGTAATGCATGTGTTTTGCAGCCCTGGACGAACATATTTTAGCTACTTCTTGACTCATCTTCTTTGGTCCGCTAACTAGGACTCCAACATTTGATTCTTTACGTTCCATTAGTATGTCTGCACATATGACAGGAGGCGTTAGCTTGTGGAATTTTTTTGGTATATTGTATGAATAAGATTTTAGCTTCTTTTTATATCAAAGCAGATTGTAGAAAAACACATACTTTTAAGGTTCGGTCTTTCTCCATGGTGTACTGTGGTAACTCGAGAGAAAGAATAGTGTGGAAGGCCTTCTAACTCTCTATCAACGTTGGAAGACCACAACTCCGGTCTTGGAGATACTGTCGGCGTTGGAGCGTCTGCATTTTGGATCTGCCTCAACTCTTTAGAATTCCGTTTCTTGTTCCAGAAGAAAGCTAGAGTTGCAATTATAACCATGGACATACATAAAAGTGACATATAGATCATTGATTTTGCATAGTATGGATATATTATATTGGTGTTATGATCAATGGGGTATATGTAGTACTTAGTAAGAATGCCAATCAGGAAGAGAAAAAGGACGAAGGTAGATGCAATTATAACGCCGAGCCAAAGCCAGGTGTTTGGGCCTAAAACAGCAGACACCGGTCTGTCTAAAGTGCTTGGCTTGAACCATATGCTCCGGTCGAGCTTCTGGCTGTCCGGTGAAGGACCCTTCTCCCGAGTTACGTAGGCTTGGATTTGTAATTGCAGTAGAGAAATGTCGTAACTCGTGCCTGAAATTGGAAGGAAAAACTCTAGCATTGCGAGATCTTCAGTTTTCTTGAATGCTGGGATGAGGAGTATTCTCGGGGTTTTACAATTTGTTGTGTTTGCTATGAAAATAAGTTCCCGAATGATGGATATGAACGGTGTGATGCCACTCCCACCACTTATCATCACCAGCTCATCGTGCCTACAAGAGAGTTTTCATCGAGTTATATTATGTGGTTAATATAGAAAACAGGAAGATTATTTGATTCTTTGTAGTAACCTTAAATAGGAGGTTGATGGAGGTCCATAAGGTCCTTCAATGGAGACTTCAAGTCGATCCACTGGAGTCGAAGATGCAAGCCTTTTATACAGATTCTGAGACCAGTTTCCTTCACTTTTGATGACAATGCTGATCTTATCAGGATCAATGTTACAATTGGATGTAACTGTAAATGGATGCCATTGAATCTTGGATATGCTCTTCACATTTATGAACATAATGCTTCCTGGATCGTACCTTAATCCTGGCAGTAAAAGTAATACAGAAATAAGCAAAATATAAGTTCTTAAAAAAGCGGATTTTAGTTTAACAGAGCTGCTACAGAGCCCGGATTAGATTAAGATCCAAGGGTGAGCCAAACCCGGGATTTAATCCCGGGAGTTCCAGCATTTTTCATTGTTTTAATTTTACCTGGATCTTTGGAGAAGTTCAATTCGACAGCCTGGCAAGGTAAAACACGAGTAGAGACCAAATGAATACGTTGCTGGGATTGTAAAAATCTTAGGTATCGATCGATTAGGAAGATATAAAACCCAGGAAGCGAAATGCAAGAATATGAAAATCCCGCATGTAGAACAAAGAACACGACGAAGACAGCGTACAAATGATGAGTGTAGTAGAAGAGCTCGAAAAATTTCCTCCTAATGCGTGGGAAGCTCGTCATCCATATAACTAAGCCAGAGAGCAAAGCTACTTCTCCAGCCACATTTGAGACTCCAAATTTGTTCCATGCCCACATCTTCATGCTCACAAAATGAGTACTTAAGTCGGTAACATTATTCTTTAGTAAATTATAATCAATTTATAAGTTAAAGAGTAAAATGCAATGTACCTCCGAGGTCTGATTTGTATAAGCCCAGAAGATTATATAACATAAACCATGTGAAGCAAAGAGTATCATAACTATATGCCCTAGCCAAATGTGATACTTAATGGTTGATTCTGAAGAAAGGCCTAATACGCGTAAAATCGATGATCCTCGAGTCACTGGGAAGAAGAGGAAGGCAAGAGATATGTTTCCAACAAGGCCTAGCAATAGGGCTGCACTTTCTAACTTAGCTTCCCATCTGTATTAAGAAAGAAAAAGATGTTCTGTTACATAGTCCCTTCCAGTATATAATCTTCCGTATCAAAGCGACTTACACAAACTCTCCCATATTTCCTGCAGATTGTCTGGTGATATTCTTGAACATGCTATGTACATAGGCTGAAAATGACCAAACCAAGAGTGCCAAGAACATAACTAAGAAGGATAACTCTATCCACGAGACGATGCCTAGAGGGCCGTTCACGAGCGCAGGTCGTCTCCATGAGGCAAAACGAGACTCTTTAGGGGTTCTGTCAAACAAAAGTAGAGGAATAAACTACGTATAATAAGATCATATCATTAAGAGATAATTTCACGTACTCGTCTTTGCTACGATCTATGTACTTCTCTAGTTGAAGATACAGACATCCCAATGCAGCAACAAATAGGACTGGAAAACTGTATATAAGAATATTTGCACCTGCGAATATAATCAAACACGAATATTTATTTGAAATTTGATAAATCCTACCTTTCTAGGTGACTAAGTTTCGTGTAGAGAAAAACATTAATTGGAACAAAGTAATCAAACCTTGTTGTCCGAAGTACGACGAGTCGGTTTTAGCATGTATATCAGACAACCAATGTAGCCAGAATACATTTGTAGGCATCATAATCCATATCATAGCGTATCCAAGAAAAATGAGTAAAATAAACAGCTTAATTGCAAGTTGAAAATTGCTCATTTTTACAAGAAAAATCCCCTTCATTTAAGTATATTCAGTTTTTGAAGAGAGTATGCCCCCCAAGGAATCCTTAAATAGCTTATAATTAGGCAGAAGAATGATACAAAAAGTTAAAACACATCTTAAAGTAAAAGGACTAATGTTTTAACTTTAAGTTGCGGTGTGTTTAGACTTGTAATCTGCTTATAAGTAGATCCATGGTTTGCGGAGAACGGTCCAAGAAAGCCTTAAATAGCTTATAATTCGACAGAAGAATAATCAAAAAAATTAATACAGAACTAGAAATAAAGGACTAGTGTTTTAACTTGTAGCCACAGTGTGTTTACACAAAATCTACTTGCTAGCCAAATTAAGAGTTAATTATCGAGTAATTTAATTTCTGCAGTTGACCTTTTGGGATCATAAGTTACTTTTTCAACCTTCGAAGAAGGAAATTATTTAATGTTATTCCTGCCCCCAAGGACTCTTATAAATATTTATTTTGTCCTTGAAAAGTTAGAATCTATTGGTCTGATTTTAACTGTTCTAAAAAAGGCATCATGCTGTGAAATTGTGTCGATGCATTTAGAAATTTCATGTGTCGAGTTCGAACCGCTAAAATTTCAACTTTTTTTCTAGCCTGGCCAACGAAAAGTGGTGCTAGAAATGAGTCTAAGATCCGTACTACAAGGTTTGAAATGAATAAAATCATAGCAAAGCGTAAATTGTAATAATCCTGAATTTCTGAAAGCGGAAAATTCCGGTATGCAGCTGGTTGTGTCCAGTTAGAGCTTAAGAGCACAAAGATTCAAGAAAAGCCCCCCATTTTAAGCAATTCAAAAGTTACATGAATTTGAGAACAGCTTGTCCAAAAGCAATGCCAAGAAAAGTTGCAATTGCTATGCCAAAAATACCGGCAAGAATTCCAGGGACGACCAAAGAACTCCAACCTTTGGCAGTGGCCATTCCACAGGCTGTTGTCGGGCCTCCGACATTTGCATTCGATGCTATAAGCAATAGCTTTTGGTCGAACCTGAACAATTTTCCAAATCCAAGGATTATGGCAAGATGAACAGCAATCTGGACTAGAGCAAAAAGGAAAATACTGGGTGCCGTAGTTATGACATTCCTAATGCTCCCGCTTGCACCCACAACCGTGAAAAATACCTGATACACAATATAATTATTAAAATGCGTAAAAACTAAATGAACACACTTACTTTTAAGTAAAAAAAATACATTTTTCCTGAAAATCTCTTACATTACTATCAAAATAACTTACTTATTTCCATCTTTGATCAATGGAGAAATTATTTATGTTAAAACTTATTCATTAAGCTCACAACGAGTAAAACTTGTACATCTGGTTAAAAAATATGGTTCTTAAATAAAACTCGAAGATAAAGAAACATCAGGCCACATTTTAGTTCATTGTTCTTGATCCCTATATGAAGATCCTTTTCCAGATAAATTTATGTTCATTTTAATGATCCATCGTTCTGCATCAAAAGAACTGTGACCCTGTTTGTGTACCCATATGGCATGCTTGTGAAATTTTATTTGTCCTTTAGTTTCACTAACACCACAACGGATAGAATTCCAGCCAAAGTCTTACTCTCTATAATAACCAGCAAAGAAGCACAATAAAGATCGGAAAAAGGATTATGCACGCTAGAAAAGTTTCATTAGTTGAAGATTAGAATTACAAACACCAATTTTAGATCAAAATCTGTTGCAGTTAGATCATTCCATGTCCTATACTTCGACTAACACGAAAGCTGAATAGAACTTCCAAAAGACATACCTGCATCAATATCATTGCCATAGCCTCACCAGAAGGTGCAAGGTAAGCAAATTGCTTTGGAAATACAGTTGCTAAAATAACAACTATAGCCGTAATTGCTGGAAGACCACCTCCTTGAATGCCAAAATACTTCGTTAGAAAACTACCAGTCTTGCAAATAGCAAAGGATGCAGCAAGGGCCGTTGCAGTCTGTAGTACAGGAAGCTTATTTCTAGATTCTGATTCCTCAGTAACTTCAATATCTACCAAAGATTAACGTATTATTAAACCATCAAAGAAGAATTTGTGGCAAGGTTGAGAAAAAAATGAACTTGTGTAAATAAATCTAGATGTGCAGATTGAGTTTTTGTTGTATTCAGTACCACATACCAGAAGTTGAAGTTGAAGACTCAGCTGGTATTTTAGATGCCAATGCGAACAATGTGGAGAAATATACTGCACAAATAACATTATCTGCAGCTAGTCCAGCAGTTAAAACCGAAGGAGAGACTTGGAGAGCTTCAGAAATTGCAACATAGTTTACGGCTACACGGCAGGAAAAATATATATCAGCAAAAAGTGAAAAAAAGCATAAAACTGTTATAAAGAGCTCCTAAAAATATTTTGATAAGCTAACAGTATGCCAAAATTTGACAAGGGACAGCAATTTAAGCAGAAAATTTCTTCTACCGGTCATAGTAGCTACTGCTATGGACGTAAAGACTAATTAGAATCCTTTAAAACAGTTAGGTTGCCGGAAAATCTTTGGGCAGGTTACTCTCCAAAACTAACATCATGGAACACATTTTTTTCACCGCTACAATCTATGCAATGAGCACCACAGAATGCTCTCAGTTGTGAGTAGAAAACAAGTATAAGCGTTATAGAACAGTACTTTTTAACTTCTTCACATATGAAAATATTCGAATTTGGACAACATAATCAATTGAAGAGTATAAAAGGAGAGAATACAAATACCTCCACCGATATGCCTTCCCATTAGAGCAGCAGCAATTTTCCAACCATCTTGACCAAGCGATCGCATTGGCACCATCAGGAAAGCCACAGCAGTACCAATCGTTGTTGCAACTGTGAAAAAAATGAAGAAAGAACGGATGCCAACAGTAAACTCCAGCATTCATGATGGAACAATTATAATTAATAAAAAGATAGAATTGTCAAATCATCTCGTCTTCGTCTAAGAGTTTAAACTGTCATATTCAACTTTAAATGCTAACAGAGGATCTATCTGAGCTGATACCGTATTTAAATCATGTCTAAAAGCTTAAATTTTTAGAGGGGAGATATCATCGACTAGAACTCTGAATTTTCAATGAAATTGAAATTTATGGTGGCATCAAAATTTACCTGATCCTAGCAAGAAGGCCAGGAGTAATGTGCCAGTGGACCTAATCACTCGTCGCATATCTGCTCTATACAACAGCAATGGAACAGCAAGTGGCAGCAGGAAATTCAGTACAACATTATAAGCTGGTGCTTCACTTGCAATAATTCCTAGATTACTAGCAGCCAAACCCACTAAAGTACTAACCAATGCACCACTCAATGCACTCCCAATCTTGGTTTTTTCTGACCTTCAATCGATCAAGCAACAAAAAAGTGAAGTTGATAAGGACCCACATTTTATTTTTTATTTTATTACCATGAAAATTTGCATTTACCAGATGCCGAAAGCTCCAGTGGCGAAAAGAGCAGTCCAGGTGCCCAAATGATCTTGTGAAGAAATGATTGGGAAATTCAAGTGGGAATTGACAATTACACTTGGAGAGGCTTTCTTGGGCTTAATAAAAGGTGAAATTAAGACTTTTTCTTTATGCTTGTATGATATCAATCGTGAGGAATCTTGAAATAATAGAATGTTTTTGCCGGAAGGCATAAATGGCCGGCGAACCGGCTGGGGAGGATAGTGAGTGGGAAGAGCAGAAAGAATCTTTGACGTCATTTCCCGGCCAATCGCCGCCGGTGAAATAAGTAGAAATATCAAGATTAGGACTTAGAGAAAAGTCAAAAAGATTCTTTTTTGTAAAATTCAGTCAGATCCGATGCAATCGTTACACGTGGGCTATTTTTGTTGATAACCATTTACGCAAAGTTTGATCAAACATGCTACATGTTAACATTTTGTATGACATCATTGTTGGCATTGTGCCACGTATCGACACATTATTGAACAATTTTTGAATTCAACACACTTTTTCTGTCAAAGTGTTTTTGAATTTTCACTCAATATCATCCAAATTGTCTTGTATGAAATGTACAAGAAGATTTATTCTCGTTGAATCGATGTAGGGCAATTGGTGCAAAATTTGATCGATGACAAAATCACATCTACACAAATCATTTCAAAAACAGATTTCTAAATCATTTGAAATCAATGGCGTAGATTTTACCAACACACTTTATAACTCAACTTTGTATAAATAGCTTTATTGTACCTTTTCATACTTCCATTTTGGCGGATGAATACTGCATTTTTTATTTTATTTTTTTGAATAATTCTATTTATGGTGTACCGAATTGTTTACTCCTCTCACATGAATGCGGAACCTGCATGAATAAAAAAAATTCAAAATGTGGTCCCCACCTCCTGTTGTGAGTATTCGGCAAGGGATTAGATAAAAAAATTCAATACATGTAGCATTGTCCCCTTTTTTTCCCTATTCGATCCATTGAATATACTCTTATATTTAAATAAAATAAAAAATTATTTGTTATCGTAATCCTAATTCTTTTAAAAAGTGCAAATTAATCCCAAATAAATAATTAAAAAATTAAATTAAAAATAAAATATTTCTTTCCCACCTCGACATCTTCCTCCTAACACAATCACTACCTTAATCTGCAGGCGGTGAACTGATCCCGAAAAGGTCCATGATGTTGTCAAAATTGGTCTAAGCTCGTCGACCAATATTTCCGATCTTATTTTTTGATCGATTTGGGGGCTTCCCAACAAACCTCCTCGGGATCATCTCACTCATTCGTATTTTTTTTTTCAAGAATTTTGAGACTACAATTGTAATTAATTTTAATTTTTTAATTTTTTTTATTAATTCACAAGGATTTATTGAGAAAATGAAAGAAAACATTGTATTCCGTGTGAAAAAGGCCATTTTAGGAGGCTTTTGTTCAAAATGAAGGATTTGAGGGACAACTTTGAAGATGGCTGGTAGATTCTTCCTATTTTTCATAATAGCCTTTCTTATTAAAAGTACTATATTGCCCTTAATGAAATTATTTATAAGATCTATCTTATATTTTTAAGAAATTGTCAATCAGGTCCTATATTTATATTTTTCAATCTTTTGAATATCTTTAAATATTCTTTATATTTTAATAATTCTTCAAAGATTATAGGTTGACCTTTCTTAGTTATATATCCTTTAAATAATCTTTCTGAGATTTCTTCTTGTATATCCGTATGTTTAATTATAATATCTTCTACTTTTCTTATTTCTCTATAAGTTCTCACAGAATCAAATCCTATATTATTCTTACAACTATAATCTATATCTCTATATATTTCTTCAATTTTTTCTTTACCAATAGGGAATATAACATCAGATTTTACATCTAATTTAAGCAAAAAAGAAACATCTTCTTCATCTAAAAATAAAATGAGATTTTTATCATTATTAACAGTAGAAGTGGATGCTTGTGAATTGCTCATCAAAGATAATTAAAGCATAAGCATGTAAAGATAAGTAAATAACTTACAGTAATCAAGTGGAA